AAAAAAAAAAAAAAAAAAAGTGTTATTTTATGTTTGGAAAACCCAAAAATGCAATAATCTGTTTTCTGTTCTTCGTGCCCAGAAAAAACTGTGTGCTCATGAGGGGACTTCTCTGCCTGTCCACTGTATGATGTGTATCAACCTGCAGACAGCCCACAGCTTTCCTGTGAAAGTGTGGTCTTTGGAGGAAAGCCTCGCTCAGCCACTTCTACACACCTTTCTCAGCCCATCAAGACAACAGCAGGAAGAAATATACAGAATTATCTTGGAAACATTTGAATGGGCCGTATCTCACATGGATGCTAGCCTGATTCAACTTTTAGATCCTGCAGCGAATCCCACCGATTCGGGTTGTGATTTACACATATACTTAGTCTGGGTGCTTTTGAAAATCCTACCCACAATAAGTAACACTAAGGACTCAAAAGCATTCTTCATAAATGCTTGCATGGTAAATAGGCACTGAAAATTAAATCTTCCTGTACTTTGCACTATTTCTCTTTAAAGAAATATAGAGCAAGAGCTTGAACAGAGCTATCTATCTTGCTTGGTCCAGCAGTGCACTTTGCACATGTTCAGGTTTCAATATATTCTTGCTGAAGCAGAGCCAAGTGTTCAATATTCTACAGGGTTTAGCTCCAAACATCTGATCCATGAAAGAGTTAGGAAATCATTGATCTCCTTCTCAGTATACGATTTCTTCCTGCGTACAATATTAAGCCTCCCTAATTTCAATGAAATCAGTGATGAAATCTAGCAGTTATTCAGATTACCCACGAGCAAAATTCTGTCCACTTTTGTTGCAAGTGGGATGTGTTTATTTTGAAAAGTACCCAGGCTTAGTCTATGAGCTGTACAGACTACCCTAAGAGCAGGAACTAGTCAATGACATTTTTCTGTAAGATAAAGAACAACAAAAATTGAGTCCTTAGTTTCATTTCCTCCCACCTTGGCAGATTTTGATTAGTAACAGAAATTACCATTGAATCCCCAAATACCTCTCTTCCCAAGAGCTAGTTATCCTCATATTGTACAAAGCATTACAGAGATTTATTAGTTTAATTAACCTGCTCCCGCTGCCTGACTCGTTTGTAGACATATGGAGGGAATGGGGGACGGGAGACATATTTGCCTTCTCCTGCTGCAACATTGAAAGCTCCACCTTCATAAACCACTTTGCCTCTTGAAACTGTTGCAACTGGGACTCCATGGCAGACCATTCCTTCAAATATATTGAAGTTGTTGGCCTGGTGATGTGTCTTTGCAGATATTGTCCTGTGTTTACAAAACAAAACAACATCAAAACAACAAAACAACAGTTACTACGATCCTTGTATTTTACTTCATTATAAAATTTTGAGAAATTTATAAAGGAAGAAAATTTAGCAGCAGTATTAAACTATGACATTGTACAGTACATCATGGAACAGCTGTAAAAATAGGATAGAGCATTAACATTTCATTGGACAGTAATTGTATTTCAAAAGAACGAAGGGGGAAGTCAAAAGGACAGAACTTCGCAGCCTTGAAATGCAAAATTTTCCACTGGAAAGAGATTAGTGGAAAAAAAAAAATCAGGTTGTAATATTTTATTTGGATAACATGATTTCATTCTGGCTTGTCAAGCAAATATCTATGCATGATAAGGTCAGAAAAAGCTCTGACCTTTTAGCTAGAATGACTTGCAATTTCAAGTTTGAAAGGTATGGCTGCAATGTTTCAAAGATTGAGAATAACACAAAGGCTATTTCACTGGAAAGTCAGTAGACTGTAACAAATTTTGGTAACTCTCAATGTGAATTGGATTAATCCAGTGACTGACAGCCCAAATATCTCAATGCTGCTAAATGATAATGGAAACATCTCACACTTGTACATACCTTTCCTCTAAGGGCATTAAGCAAATTATAATTTTAGACCTCAACAGTATCCATCTGAGCAATAGGATTATTGCTCAGTTTATGGATAGATTTCATTCTTTATGATCACCATTTTTCTAGCCAATTTCTTCAAACCCTAACCAGCTACATTAAAGGTAGAGCCAATGCTAGAGCTGACATGAGCATCTGGAAGTGCAGGCTGTGGATGCTTCCTTCATTATCTATTTTCACTACTGAGCTACTTACTATCTACTGTATCTAAAATGAGTCACAAGATTTTGAATTTTAGTTAATTATTTTATTAACTTCCTGTTTTCAATCTACAGGTACTTTGTTTATTTATAATTTGGAGAGTTTATATTTTAAATGTCATCTGTAATTTCTGAAAGGAAGGAAGTTTCCTGCTTTTGGCTGGCAGTCAGAATTTTCACGAATGGGTGCTCACACAAACAACAACCTGTAATGCATATACAGCATTAACATTATTCCAGAGACTACATCTTCTGCAAAAGAATTATCAAAGTCAAAATTAATATAAAATATTAATAGATTAAAATATTGATCTCTTTGGAGAAGAATTTTCTAAAACTTTAGCTAGCATCCTTATCAAAATGAGAAAACCACAACAAAATCTGCATCTTTCTTAAAGTATAGACATTTTTAAAAGCAATCACATATCAAATATTTCAAATTATTACTCATACAGAAGAAAAATGAATTTGTGAAAAGATACCGTTCTGTTGAACTAAGGGTTCTACTAATGGCTACATTCAAATCTTGGTGGCAACTGACTCTTCAAAGGCTGTATATACAGAAATACTATCTATGGACAATCTGTCCACAGGGATAAAAACTTTTCCTTATTCAGCACACCTTGGACAGAAAACTTGTACATGCCTGCTCACCAGTATCAGCATCATTTTGTAGATTCACAGTGGAAAGGGCAAACAATGGAAGTCAGACCTCTCTTGTATTCACCAGTCCTATGAATACTGTCGAGCAACTTTATCCATGGGTGTTACAACAAAGAGTTTGTGAACATATTCCTCTAGTTTACTGCATTACCCTTATGGGTCCAATTGCTGGAACAGTAAGTAAGAACAACTGTAATATAATTATCTTTATCATTCTCTGGGTATACATCATATATATTTGCACAATAGCTCTGGGACATGAAAAGAAAAATGGAAAAGGTAATTTGGACAAATAGAAAAATAAGCAAGATCCTTCAACTCAACATTTGAACTGTTTAAATGCGCTAGGGCAGGATCACTATAGGTAAACACTCCTCAGAGGTAAGTATGTCCTTCATAACAAGATACAAAACAAATCAAAGTTAGCACATTTACAAGAAATATCCATTTGTACAGACAGATAAACCTTACAATATGACAAAACACACTTCCCAGAGCTTGTCTCAACAACAAACTTGTACAGAAGTCATAAAGTAACTCTTCTGTTGAAACACATCTTAGATGATGCTGCCCTTTCTGAAGGTGAAGGGCATTCTCCCTGATGGAGATCACCAAAATTTGTCTGTGATTTAACCCTTTGACACTATCAATGGCAGTGAAAGTTTCAGGTGGCAAGTGAGCAACCAATTAAAACAGAACCAGGCGGTATGCTTGGGTCTGAAGCTCACAACTCAGCCACCTGATGCAATAGACTGTTTACTGCTCTATCAGCCATTTCAGCAGCAGGCAGATTGCTGGGAATCTTAGCGAAATTCCAATGTTTGCTCCAAATGTCTGAATGCTATTGACCACTCGGGTAATGGTAAGAATGGCTGTAACCCACTTATAGTCCAAGAAACCAAGAGTGCCATTGTAGTGGAGTAGAATGTAACCGCTGTCTCCAGCATCCGAAGTGATGCCTGACATAAGGGATTACTCAACATGAAAGAGCAGATTCTGACTCCAGGCTTCAAAACCCTGCATTGGATTTTTTATAATAAAATTTGTAAAATTCTCTAATTCTGGTTATAAATTACAGTGGCTCTTGTTTCAAGCAAGCCTTTCTCAATGGTGACTGAGATCAGAATGATTACTTCAACATTCAAAAGAACATTCTCCTCTACAACAAGGATGCTGCAAAGACATCAGGCCCTGTTTTGTTCCTGCTTACCTCGGTGTTTCCATGCAATTCACTTTAGCTGCTGTCTTACAAAGAGGTTTAACACTATCAATATAAAAATTGACATTGACCAACTAATTTACAGTCAAATAGCAATTATTTTAGTCTCAGAGCAATTACCAGATTTTCTCTGACTGTGTGATGATGCAGTGACTACTAAGCTGTACTTATTTATGCTCCATGTGAGAAAGGGCTTTACAGCCACTTCTAACATATTATATCTACATAAACTACAAACTGAAGTTTGGAATTTAGAAAAGAGCATCAGATTAGACTAACGCAGCAAGCTGTAGGGTGGTCAGCTCAAAAGTTATGCCCTTAGGCTTTGTTAAGGGGTTAGAGATACCAGCTTTCATTTCAAGTGAAACACAACCCAAGAGCATCGTAAACATGTCCATGGGTCAGACAGAGCCTGAAATACTAAACAGTGAGTTACTCGATAAAGGAAAACCATCAGACATTAGAGTGATCTACTCCTCATAATGCATAGGACATGAAGCTACATAAGCCCAGTGAAGGTGGACCTGTTTAACTAGACGATTTGAATTTTCAAGGTAAAGAATTTAGTTACTTTCAGTGGAAACTGGATGTACACCTCACACAGTCTTCCTAAAAAATTTCAGGTACAGGAATAGGAAGGAATTCTATAGTCAGCCCTTAGGTAAGTATAGCTGCTCAACATCTCAGTAAAAGGAGGACACCTATTTTATAATTACTTAATTAATTAGTTTAAAACATAGTAATAAAGGCAGCAAAAATGACTCGAGTCCGTTGCTGAAGAGAAAACAACTACTTCATTGGAGGTGCCATAGAAAACCAACTTAAGTGAGCATTTGAGCTGTAAGCAACTCCTCTCCGTGCTCACAGTGCAGCATCTCTAAGCTTTTCAAAGATGGGGGCTGAGAAATGCCAGTTTGCTGAGGACAGTATCAGCCTCTGCAAGGTGCCTCTTCAAATCACTTTCAGATGCCTTTGAAATCTCCACATTGTTAATCTGCTTTTCTAAAATCTAGAAGAAAATAAATAGATAGTTCACCTTTCTGTGCTGTCCTGAGCCACCACTCACTTATAATGATAATTAAGTTGATCTTTGTTAATGTTAAAGAGTCAGTTTTATTAAAAAGAAAAGCAAAGAAGGGGAAAAAAGAGAGGAAAAAGAAGGAAGTCTTAAAAAATAAGTGCAAAAATGCTAGCTATAAGCCTATAATGTGGATTAAAATCCCCATGGCCTATTTTATATAAAGGAATTGCAATAGCTATATACAAATATATGCAGGCAACTACTCATACAGTTGTATTCCTAGCCTCTTAAAAAAATCTTTACATAAGCATTGCCTTTGAGAAGCCATATGAAGGAAGGAGATTTGTGGATAAAATAACAGATGCAAGAAAAGGTAGGAATGTTTGGGAGCTCCAAGTCACAGTGACTTATCTGAGGGATGGGATCTTTATTTCATGCAATCATACCTCCTAAAATTCATCATTTGAAGATGGGTAGAGAATGACAACAAAATTATTCTTCTGATTATGGTAAGTAACTCATTTGTCAACAATACCATCAGCCTGGTCTTATCAATCACGGATACAGGATGGAAGTGAAAATTGTCAAACTGTATAATGGGCAGGAGGGAAACAACAATGAGAAATTAAGCTTGCAAAAAAGCATAAAAAGAGAGGAAAATAGAAATTAGTCTATTCAATGTCACTAAAGAAGATCTGGATGTGACTACCTGGGAGAAAAAGGGAAGGTTATATAAGGAGAAAATAGGAAAGATTTGTTGTTGTTGTTGGTAACATTTCTAAGATTCAGTTCTCTAAAGAGAGCAGCTGACATTCTGCGAGACAGCAAGTTACTAGGGAAACGTACATCGTGCCCTCTCAGAGAGGCTTATTTTGTTACAGTTCACAGAACCACAGAGTCACTGAGGTTGGAAAGCATCTCTGGAGATCATCTATTCCAAGCCCTCTGCTCTGGCCGGGGTTGGACAAAGGGGGGTTTCTCAGGGCTGTGCACAGTCAGGTTTGAAGTGCCTCCAAAGATGGAGACTCCACAACCTCTTTGGGCAACCCATGCCAGTGTTTGATCACCCTCAAAGCAAACAATAGTTATGGAATATCCTGTATTTTAATTCATACCTATTGTTTCTTTCTCCATGTCCCCTTAATTGGATATAAGAGGCCTCTGTCAGGAACTGACAGGAACTCTGATTCTCGTGAATTAGTGCACATTCATGCATGCACGAACTTGCATTTGTGCAGAAGAACACAGGGCTATTGAAAATGCGACAACATACTTATCCTATGCATACTTATTTGTATGTCACATTATTTCATTTTGCCTCATTGTGTCTGGATGCACTTATCCAGACATTCGGTATTCAAAATTATGCTCATTCATCAAAACAGTAAGACAGTTGCGGCATTATTTATTCTAATCACCTGCTAAGATCTTGGTTTCTTCCTCTTTCATGTTACAAAAAAATTACAGGCAGTTGCTTGGCAAAGAGTGCTTAAATGTTGTAACTTGTCCCCACTTAAGCCTCTGACACTGAAGACTTGACTACAAATGAGACAGACACAGGCTGCAGATTTTGGATCTAACAAATGCGAAAGATTTATCCACGAACATATCTACACACAAACAGAGGCATTGAAGGAACATACGCCAGCAGACTGGGGCACTCTGACTTCTTGCTGGTTTGCATCCAGTGACCGTTTCCCCTAAAATGCATAAAAAACATTGGAAAATCTTCCCTAGTCGTGGCATAGCAGGTAGATCACAGAGTAACATCCTTTCCCTCTCTCTCATCCTCACCTCAGGACTCCCCCCTTCCCAGCTGATCAGGGACCCCGCTCCGGCAGCTGTGGGCTGGGGGCTGCAGCCAGCCCTGCCCAGAGCCCAGGTCCATGGGCACGCGTGGGGCACACTCTGGGCCACTCCAGCAGAGCCCAAGGAAGATGGGGTGACTGTACCTGCCCAGCCAGCTCTCCCTCTGCATTCAGAAGCAGATAACTTTTAGGCTATATTTGGTGAGTGAAAAACACCTGGTGGGTGAGCCTTCCCAGACTGCACGCTGTTATAACAAAGTGGCTGGATTTAGAAAGTTAAACTCCATTCTAGAGGGGGTTTTTATCCCTACGGGTGTTTGATCTTGCCTTTGGGGCCCAATCCAGGGCTTATTTGCAAGGCTCCGACAGGCTACAGCAGGTTTACTGAGCCCGAGTATCTGCCAGGAGCTGAATGCCTCTTATGATATCTTTAGCACCTTCTGCGCCTACTTTACAAGGGATGCTCAGCCCTTTCCATGGTCTGACTTGGGTACTGCAGTATTTAGATCCCTTGCTGAGCATTTCTGAAACAAGTCCTAGAGACTTTGTGTTCTTGCTTGCTTTCAAATAGCTAAAGGCATCAGCTACAGAGGACACTGACTTACTGACAGGTGACATTCCCTTTTCCTCACTTACTCTGCCCTATCCTTCTGGAACAGTCTTTACAGTTGCTTTTGTTTCACAGACTTGAGGCTGTTATATTATTTGTGTGCAGCTGAAAGAAGTCAGCAAACATTCTTGATCAAAGCACGGATTAAAATAAGACAGTACAGTGAGTACACATTTGCTGCCTACATGCATTTTTCCAAGAAGTTCTCACCAAACACTCCTGTGGGCACAGGCTGTATTTGGGATGCTGAGGGTGTTGAGGTCTGAAACATGATGCTTGGTAGCACATGGCTGCAATAAACCAACAAGTCCCGTGGTATTTGTGTGTTCTTTAAGATGCAATGAGTATAAGGAAGCTAAGAAACAGACCTAACGCGGCAGAACTCACAACCCATCTTTGCTAATGCGGTTTCTAACAAATATATACATTAAATGTGTTTCTTCCCAATACTGCTTTCTTTCATGCAGACCTGCTAGAACCCATATTTAGAAGCTTTGAAATACGGTAGCAAAGCTGATGACTGTTTATATAGTATTTTCTGCAGAAATTACCAGAAAATGCTACAGAAATAGGCCGGTCAATGAAGCTGACCTGTAGAAGAAAAGCCTCAGCTGAAGTGGCCATGTGCTGGAAGTGGAACCTTGAACTGGAATTGCTCCCAGCTTGCAGAGCTGCCAGGTTGAATTGACTAGGCTTTTGCAACCTAGAAAGCGAAAAACGTAAATGCCCAGATAACACCCAACATGTTGCTATTGAGCAATGATGTGGGAAAGGAAATGCAGCCTATTTTGGGTGGATTTAAATTTCTGTATTGTGAAGAGCTTCACTACCTTTCAGAATGACTTCAGAATCCTCCCTGTAGACTTCCTCTGACAGACTGGGATAATCCCAGTCCCTCACAGCAATAATTCAGCAATTGTCTAACTCTTTAGGCTAATATCAGCCATTATTTTAAGCCTACAGCAACACAGCACTAAACCAGAACTGGAAAATTGCATCTTCCTCTCTTACAAGATTTAGATTTCTAAACAAGACAAAAGTCATGCTCAAAAGAGGAAGGACTTTGCAAGAAAGAGGAACAAGCCTATTGTGAAATTGAAAATCGCTCCCCAGACAAAAGCACATGAGGCTGCACCTTGTGTAATATCTTAAATGGTTGAAGTCCATTAGCTAAATCCCTTTTTTCTGCTGGGCTGTTTGTGCCCTCTTCAGGATTTGTAGTGAAATGAACAGACAGGCACTGGTGAGATTTATTCGTACTTACTCATACAGTTCACACAATCGTACCTGCAGAGAGGCTTGTTCCCAGCAAAGCCAAAGGGATAAACAATGGGAACAGTACCAGATCGGAAAAAAAAAAAAAAAAAAAAAAGTATTGGCTGAATGTAAAATGAGCTTGCTCAGTAAGAAAATAGTTTAACATTTGAAAAAATATTTGAAGAAAAAAATACACCTTCAGAGCTGCAGTGGGCAAAAGACAATGAGAGCACTGGGGAGAGAGCGAAGGGGGGCAGAAGGAGTGTTTGAGAGGCAAAAGGATAAACAGTTTCAGGAGCTGACAAAGCACCTTGAGAACAATGTCAGAACTCTGCTCTCCTTCTAGAATTGTTTGTCCTCAAGCAGAGCAGAGGAGAGCTCAGAAAAGAATCCTTCAGTGTTTTTTTTTTTTTTATCAGGGTTCATAGCTCCACCGTTCTGAAATAGCTCATTGCTACTATCTCAGAATATGCTTGCTCAACATGCCAGAAGGCATAATGCACAGGAAAATCTCTCTGACCCAGCGCTGGGCAGGCCTCTGTGTTTATTAGGGTTGACACTCCTGAAACTTCTTTTGCTAGTGCTGCCAGTTTTTTTGTGGGACCTCTGAATAGCAACCTCCATTGCTTTGCAGCTTAAACACAGAACGCTTTTCCTCTCACTCTCACGCGCTTTTTTGGTACTCACGGATATACTGAAATGGCTGAGAGTCGCATTACCAAAAATTCAAAAATCAGAAGATTGGTCAAGAAAATTTTGTTTGTGTAAGGTAAATCTTGTATTAGGGGTTTTTTTCCCCTCCATTTAGCTTCCAAAATCAGATCTGCCATTATGTTTCACAACTTTCCTCTGCCATGAGGGGAGTCTTCAACTCTGTGTTCAAAAGCAAAGGCTGAAAATCTAATGGCATCTATGAGTTACAGCAGCTCAGGCTTTAGGAACAACAAACACTGTGGTACCTTGATGAAAGCTGGCCATGCTGTCATCATGCCCAACACTCCACAAAGTTCATCTAACGTCAGCAATTGCTATTTTCTGTGGATTTACTGACTATCTGCATGACAGTGATGCAAGAGATATCAAGAAGGAGAGTCGACGTGTGCCTTCAGGGCACAGCATGCTAAGTTGCGGCTCCCAAAAAGACACGGCATGCCCTTTGTAGCAAAAAATGACACCCAGTCATGCAGGGCGAGGCATCAGCACACCTTTTGTGCATCTGCTGTTGGTGTGACAACTAAGCTCACTCCTGGTTCTTCCAGTGTGTTTGTTTTGCCAGCTAGCGAGAAGGCATTAGGAGGGTAAGATCCCACACTTTCACTGCCCATGGTGACCACCTCGGGATATGTTTGAAGTCGCTGTTAGTTCAAAACACGAGCTTGCAATGGGCCATCCTGCAGGAACACAAGCCCCTCTCCCAGCTCTTTGCAATGGGAAGAAGCTGAACGTATACTAGCACAGAGTTACTCTAAGATCCCAAAGTAGTTATTTTTACTCTGAGGATACCAAGCCCTAGTAGCATAATGTACAGACCTTGTTATTCTTGCACTTGGTCAGCAATCCAAGAGAATTTTTTTTAAGTCCATCTAGAGATCAAAGTTCTCTGCTTACATAAACTATTGTAGGAGAAAAATAACCTGTAAATAATTCACGTGAAGTGCAGTGGAAAAACACCATAACCTCACCCCAAAGACTTACTGCTGTACAGAGTCTTTGAGATTTTTCCTGTAGAGAGGCTGGACGGGAGGAAATAACTACCGATACATACCTTGTAGCTTTGGGATCCCAAATTACGATGTCAGCATCAGAACCCACAGCAATTCTCCCCTTTTTTGGGTAAAGGTTAAAGATTTTTGCTGCATTTGTGCTGGTAACAGCTACAAATCTGTTTTCATCCATCTTTCCACTGTACTGCAGAAGAGTACACAAAAGCAATCTCATTACTTTCTTAAATGAGGAATGAAAAACATGTTCCTGTTGTTGAAAAGGCTAGGAGGAGTGACAGCTCTCTGCCAACATCACATCAATATTTTTTTTTAAATGTCATACTGAAGAGTTTAAAAGAAAAAAAAATAATTGTTTGTCTTAGATGCACATACTGCAAAGTACATTCACTGAATACAGTAACTTCATCTTACTTTATCTGACAGCAAAAGGAAAAAAGACAAATTAAAGCCAAATGCTCTGTGGATCCAGTCCCAAGTCAACTGAAATAAGTTTTTTTAGCTGCCTTTGAATCTGTAGTCCTGCTCAGCAGTTTCCTCAGGAGACACAACCTCTCTCAAGTACCTCAGTTTTGGAAAAACGTCAGACAGTATTAAGGAGAGCCTTGAAGATGATAAAGGAGAGGCAGGGCACAACGTGTAATATAGGAAAGGTGATTTGCAAATCTCTTCCGCAGTAATGCAGAGGACAGTACTATTCAGTAAATATCTGAGATCGAGTAGTATAAAAGCAGATTTGCTGGTGTTACACATCAGCAAAATGGCAAACAGTAACGGATACACGTCTGTCTTGGGACTGTCCACTGCTACATAACTAATTTAATCCAGGCTCCATGACTGTTTTTGCTTGGAAAGCCAGCTAAACTGGCAGTGATATTGTGCATAGGTCAGTCTAGGAATCTGAATGTCATAAAAAAACATGTTTGTATGGCCTGTGAGCAGTCATCTGAGAAGAAAAGCATAACAGAAGTGGTGAACAGTGCTCTTCTAAATAATGGTGTGTGGGAAGGGATGGAAGCTTTCCAGACAAACTCTCGCAGCAGTGTAATATTTTACAAGTAAGAAAAGGGAGGATGCTATTGATTGAAGAACCTTCTGAAAAATTATCTTGCTCAGCGCGACACACTGTTCAAAAGCAGCACTGATGTACATATTCGTGCCTCATTTGCATATTAACCACAAACTAGATTATATTCCAGTTTATGACACAAATAATCACACCAGAGCTACACCACAGGTGAATATAGGCAGAAGTCTGCTTTACACATGCCAACCAGAGCTGAATCTCAAATATGGATAAACAGGAGAGATTCTGAATTACATCCTTACCAAGTGTGGGAGGTAGATCATTCTACTGTGACAAATAAACACGCTTTGCAGTGCATTATAAGCAAGACTTCACTACTGCAGAAGAACTTCATATTAATTATAAAGTTGAACCAGAGCCTCTGGAACTTAACAGTATTGTATTAGTCAGAACAACTGTAACACCAAGTGAGCAGTGGATCCCTAACTAGGCTGCCTCACCCCCCCCTCTCATCAGACTACCCCATATGCAAAAAGCCTGGCCACTAGCTTTCATATTTATATTTGTTTAGAGAGTGAAGGACATTGTCCTGAGAAGCACCAAGCATTCTTGTGATGGCCCTCAGAATGTGAAGTCAATGGGCCTGGAAGATGCTCATCTCATCACTTCACAGGACTGAGCCGTAAGTAAGAGAAGCATTTCTTATCTCCAGCTTATTTCACCTCTCTGAAAACACAAAATAGAAGTTGGCAGGCACACAGTCAGTGCAGAAGCTCCTAGAACAGCTAAGTTTGAGAGAGATCAAAGAGGAAAAAATTCAGAACTGTCCAAATCAAAACCGTGGGCACCTCTTTTCTTTCAGTTTTTCATCTGTTGAAAATAATGCTGCAAGTAAATGTACTGTGCACTACTGTTGAAATGATAGCACTCCTTTGCTGCGAAACAATGGAAATTATTCTCTAGTGCTATTTTTGAAGCAATTTTTTAAGCACTAAGAATCTTCTTCTATCTCCCAGGACCATAAAATGAGAGTTAGTAAGGACTCTGTTATGGTATTTGATCAAAGCAGTTATCCTATGATAAATACATTTGATAAAACTGGAGAGTTGATACTGCTGAGAGACTGCATTTTGTTGGAGAAATCAATTATCTCTTATGTTCAGACATCTGGATATACTTACAACGCCTTTTTCCCATACAACTGACATCCTGTCTTCCACACCATTTACTCCATTAGGGATTTTTGTGAAGTCATCCTTCCCCAGAGCTTTCTGGCATATGTCAAAGGTGCAATTGTCAGTCCCTGTCACAGACAGGTCGTCGCTATGGGAAAACAAAATTCGTTATGAATCAGAGCATGTACCAGACAGTGCCACATAGGAAAACCTGTTGCAAGGCTGGGTGGATCCAGCCATCCCTTCTGATATACCCTGCCAGCCTGTTTTCAGTCCCACCCTCCAAGAGCAGCTCCACAGTAACAGCCAGTTCCTCTGTGAAGCAGTTTCCTCTTCAGAAACCCTCTGAAGAAACCAAGCAACAAAAAACCCCACTTTCCAAATTTCAAGTGAAAAAGGCAGCTGACAACAAATCCCAGAACCCTTAGCTGTGACACCACTTCTTACACATTTCCCACTGACTTCCAGCCTAACTGTTCCCCTGGTCATGTTCCAATTTTTGCTGCAGTATTAGCAAGGGAAGGATTATTGATTAAAATCAAACAGGGACAGAAGGCCACAAGAGTTCAGAGAAATAAAATCTAAACACTTTCTAATTTCTGTAACAAACAAATGTTTTTCATCTATGGTTTCACCTTCTGTTTCTCCTTCCTGATGATGTAACATTCCGTACTCAGAAAATCTCCAGGGCATCAACCTGTTATTATATACCCAAGATAACATTGTATATTTGGGCATCAGCTGTCACTGTTTGTTCATCTGCTTACTTGGCCAATAAGTTCATGAGGAAACCGGGAGTAGATGGATCTGGCCTCAGTGGAGGTGCCATGACATGTGCTGCAGCATGAGCCCAGTCCTTATTCCAGTAGTTGGTACCATCGGTGCCAAGACTAGCAGCAATAGGCTCCCCATAAACCACCTTTCCTGCAAAATGTAAAGCAATAGCATCATCATCAAACAACATAAAAATGCATATCTCATTTTTCTCTGTTCTGGATCTTTTTGGTGACAATGGATTTAAATTTGAATGAGTGTTTCAAATTAAACACCAACATATGGAAGAAGATAATAAACTAAGCTATAACACAGCATCTCTGTTCTGAATATTCTGCTGGTGATGTCCCAATATATTTCCTCATAAGAACATTGCTTGGGCAAGTTTTTTAATTAAATTGTTGACAGATATATTATAATGTGTTTTACACATTGTTTACCAGGCATGTGATTGAGATTTCAAAAGGAACAGAGTCCTCAGTTGCATTAATTATGTTCAAGATCCATATATTTCTTGGTAGCACCTGTTTGGTGCTCTGAAATTATTGATTATGTACCAAAGTAAGTTAATATATACAGCATACAGACTTTGCAAGGTGGTACTTTTAATTGTCAGGGTATAATTGCTCCAGGAAGAACAAGATGGCACCAGACATAAATTTAAAGAGTCTACAAACATTTCCCAAATCAAAACCAACAAATAATTTAATTTAAAAAGTTATTTCCCAAATTTTAATCTTTAATTCTTTGCTGCACAGTATTCCAGATTACTCAGAAGAGGCCGCCAACCCAGGCGGGCTGTTAGCTTTCATATAGAGCTAACATTTTAACTATTTTTTCCTCCTAGGAAACATGGGTTTGAAACTCATCAGAACAAGCTAAGAGACAAAACATAATGTTTCACTTCCTGAGGAGGTGGTCCAGCCACTCCGCAGTTCTGTAGGTGACAGCTGCTGATGACGGTGATGGTCACCAAAGAAAGAGAGCGAGCTGGGACCTCACAGATAGTTACTGAGGAGCTCAACTCTTTTAAAAATACGCTTCTCACTGCAGCAGTGCCATTCCTTAAATCTTCTGTGCTAGACTTGCAAAAAGGCCTTGTACCATTTAAACCTCATCGTTCTACAGTTATTTCTACAAGGTTTCAAGACCTGCTCTGACATTGCTGTAATGTACATTTACTCCTAGTAATATATAGTATAACTTCTTCCACGACCTAAGGACTCCCTATTAGCGTTATTAATTTGCTATAACCACCTCAGCACGCCCTGATGTGCTGATCACGGTTGTCTCGTATTGACACTTTGGCTCGGAGGACTCTAAGCTCCCTGTCCCATTTATCTACACATATTATAGATTTACACTTGGGCTCAGAGGGAGACCACCACCATTTTTTGGACTTGAAATAATGACTTAAGCAGTTATTTACTGTTTTTCGCATCTTATTTTCAAAACTTAAAGCACTGAATATGAGTTCATCCATGGGAGTGATACGACTACTCAGGTTGGAGTCAGATTTCCATAATTCAGAGCTGCTGCAGGAGTCAGGGGGATCTTGGCCTTGCCTGGGCAACTCCAAACACAGTATTTGAGGGCAAGCTGCCACCAACCAAATACAGAAAAAGTCCTGCATATATAACCAACATCCTACATTTACCTCTTAGGCTTTTGACAGATTTTTCATAAGCAAAGTCAGTAGAAAGTCAGGGGAGGGGGAAGTGTGGTGTGGTGTGTGTCCTTCCTACTGCAACAAGCTAAAGAAACTTCCATCCGAAGGAAACCTGAACTATTAATCGTTAGGACAGAGCTATAAATGACAAAAGTTAAAATGATAGGAAAGAAGTAAATGTATAGATTCCATAAATAATTTTCTTATCTCAGTTTCACAACATAAAAATGAAGTCTCCAAGCTCACAGGCCAATATATACTGACTTGATTCTAACTCATGTACCAAGCTGATGGCAGCATTTCTGCAGTCAGAATTTGACCTGAGCAGCTCCCCTTGTTTCCATGAGTGAGAAGGAGTACAAGCCATTTCCTCAAGTGATTTTGAATCTGAACACTGCCTCATCACTGGACTACAACTGGACACTTCTGCTGACTGTGCAATTTCTTGCATTTCATTTGAACTGTGACTAGCCAGACGAAAGGGTACAATATCAAGATTCCTCTTTAATCCAAATAACAAGGAAATACTGCATTAAGGTTCTTCTAGCTCAACTGGCTTCTGCCTATAGGCATAAAAGTGGAGTAATGTGGTAATAAATCAGGTCTTTCCGTTTGTTATGTTTTCCTGCATTCAGTAAAAACAGTAAACATAAAATGTTCTGCTGTTTGGTATTTCTGACATCTCTGAGCTGTTGGGAAATAGTTGTGGATTTGGTGATGACTTCATCAGATGCCCAAACTAGCTGGCTATTGTCACATAAATTGCTTTATTTAAAAAAAAAAAAAAGCAATTGTAATTTATTTTACCATCTATCAGAACTCAAAAAGAGTTGAATAATCTTGAGAAAAAACAACTAACATTTACAGGCTTGAAAAACTGGTCCCTATCTACTTATTCTAGTAAAAGTTTCAGAAGCACTTAAGATAAGGTCATATGGGGTAAAGATGGTCACTAACCAGCTATGATCTGGAAGAAGCAGAACTGCAAGGCAGAGTTTATTCAGTTGGGCATAGCATTGCACCAGTTAGCCTAGCTACAGTCTGGACTTGAGCTGTCCTGCATGAGCCAGCTAAAAAGTTGGCACTTTTAGTTGCACTCCTGTGCTCAGAATCAGCTTGAGAATCTACATACCCACAGCTACGGACGTGCCCTTCCTCTCACTAAGAGCAGCCCTAACCCGTGACTGATGGTAGGAGCTACCAACTTTATAAATCTAAGTAAGCTTCTTGTAATCTCACCATTGCTTTTGGCAAACAGGCTGGTAGGGTCCAAAAAAAAGAACAGGATGGGGGCATGAGTTAACCTGACCATCTCCAATACAGTCACAATGTGGAAATCTTTGATTTCCAGTTGAATATTCAGCAGCACTGAAGCTGTTACTGATGTACACGAAAAACATGCTGCTGCAATCCAGAGATTTCCTTCAGTGAGTGGTGTAGCTGGAGACCAGAGCAGACATAGGTGCTGGACTTTGCCATGGGATGGAGAAGGAAAGACGGTCACTCATGGGATTCACCTAAAGTTTGCTTATTCTAGTGTAAGACCCAGGATCCCTTTACAATAGGTATGCCTATTGAAAAGGAACATGAAACATTTTACAATTGTAAATAACAGGAAGCTAGCATCAAAACACGGAGAAATAATCTTGAGAAGATTAATAAAATGCATTTGAGTGAATATTTCAAATGCCTGAGATCCTTCCTGTATTTAAGAGTTTACACAGCTTCCACATGAGAGTGGTTTAAACCTGTCCAAGTAGAATATCTTTAGCAAAATACTTGGGTTTTATTCATGTCATCATTCACATAATACTTTGAGAATTTTTTTTTTTTTTTGTCTGGAACTCCTTGTTTTGTATTACCACTTGTAATTGAAGAATGGAAAATAACTTACTGAAACTAACAACGATGAATTTGTAATTGCCAGAATTCATACAGATCAGTCCCATTACGAACTATAATTGTTGTAACTATCTCTGTGGTACGCTAGCTATCTTTTGAAATTTCTTAATCAACTCTACAGTATACTTCTATGAAAACAGAAATTAATTACGGAGGGATGATATACGTTGCTGTGCACAAAGGCAAGCACTGATGATTCTGACTGCATCATTTATAGCCAGGAAGCGATAAAATACAATTTGCATCACAATAAGCATCAGTTGTATCAATTTCTTCCTTTTACACCTCAAAGAAGCATACATATATCAAGTCAGTGATCAAACTGGCATTGCAGACTATTCTTACAACACATGCCTAACAATATTTCACAGTATTTACTGTCAGTATAGGATTTTTTACTTGAATAGTGTGTTGCAAAACAACAGACAATGTTGCATCTTTAATCTGGGTATTTTAACTGTTGCTACAGCTTCTTGTAGGTAACGTTGACACCACACCAGTGAATGTACAAATAACCGTGCACTGATGGACAGATACAATCCACATTACTAGCAGCACTGTCATCTAGTGGAGGAATCTCTTATAGCACAGTACCAAAAGATGTGCTAGTAAAAAAATATTCAGGTAGATTCTTTCATAAGCTTGAATTACTGATAAATCTTACTAGAAGTCATAATCAACACCTATTCCGCATAAACATATCCATCTATATTAGCACAATGATATCGTGCTGGTTTTGACTGCACTTTCATCAAGCTTTCATGCTCTCCATTTGGATTTTAGTAATCTGTGTTCCCTGTGTAGGCATTATCTAAAGTCAAGAAATAAGGAAACTGAGGTCTGTATGTAATTCATGTTAGGGCAGATGAACACAAGCTGAGATGTAAAAAGATAACGAGGGCAGATATTCTCTTATATTCCTTATAAATCATGGGCTGCCATCCTGCTCCTTCCACCCACTGAATGTCTCCTCACAGCACCGTGATTCCACAGCCTGCTCTGGATGAATTCA